TGAACGCGCACCGGGTGAGAATAGCCACAAGACTCGCCTGCACTATTCTCACTCCGGGTGAGAATAGAGGTGGCCATGAAAAAAACGAAGTGTAAACAGACCCGGTAACCGAGAACAAAGTCACGAAGTCGAAGTGTATACAGACCCGGTAGGGGAACTGTTTTGTGATTTTGGAAAGTTTCAGCGCCCAGACCAGGTAGTGTGGGTGTGTGTGTGTGAGAGAGAGAGAGAGCATGGGGAAGTGCTAGCAAAATGTATGCCCCAGTTGGCAGAGGGAACGAGAGAAAGATAGAGTGGGAAATAGGTGGGGAGAAACTAGAAAGAAAGACAGAGACAAACAAAGAAAAAGAGAATGCGAGAGATACACAGAAGAGAGAGAAATAGAGAGGGTAACTGCTCAATTGAAATTATGACATTGTTCTTTGCTTCAAATTGTGATTCCCCCAACTCCAAAACGGAGGAAAAACGATCGTTCATCGAAAAGACATCCCCCGCAATGTTCATTTAGATCTAGATCTAGATTTAGGCTAGCTTCGAAACTAGATCAATGATTTATGCCTGTCTGTCTTGATCTAGACGTAGGCCATAGATCTAAAAGAACCTTCTAGGTCTACCCTGAGCCAAGAGTAAGAGGGCACTGAAAATGTCGGAAATCACAAAAGAGTTCCCTTACCGGGTCTGTATACTTTGTGACTTTGTTACAGGTTACCGGGTCTGTATACACTACACTCCCTTGAAAAACGTCGCAAATGGTTTTACTTTCCCTCCCGTCTCACACTTTGCTACCAGTTGTCTATTTTTTACTCGAAGTGATTATTCGGACTCGAGTCCGAATATGAAAAAATGTTATTCGGACTCTGATTCTTGTCCAGCATGATATCACTTCCGACTTCCTGTGACTCGTGAATCCGGCTTCCTGTCCTGCCTCACTCGTGACTCGCCTCAGGCTGGGTAGAGACCGGGATCACTACGGGCAAAAAGGCGTTTTGTGCAGGAGCCGAGTTTTAATCTTATGATGAATTTGAGGCCGGCCTGAAAAGTTATAGCGCTTCTAATAAATGTTTATTTGTCAAGAGGTCATCAGAAGCAATTAAAGATGGCTCGTTAGCGTGTGTCGGGGTCGGATGGGTGGCCTGCACACGTGTGGCTGTGTGCGTGTCGGGGAGGGTGGTGGGGGGGGCACTATCGGTCCGGGCTTTGAACGTCGCATACGCGTCAGTCTTTTTCCCCTCGGCAACTGATCATTATTACAATAATAAGCTAGTCTTGACGTAGATCTACGTAATGAATACGTAATGAATTGTGTGCTGGTCTATGGAATCAAAAGTTGCCGTATGCTCAGCTCTACACAGCAACACAACTTTTTCTTGGTAAACAATCGATATGACACAGGCTTGTGTATTTGAATGAATCGGTCTTTTATTTTTTTTACACAGCTCATAATATGCATGCGCCAGGTGGTCTGCTAATCTTCAATTTTACCTTTTTCTACAACAAAGAAAGTGGGAAACGTGGGGGGGCGTATCAATGAGGCGGCGGGCATTGGATCGGCAGATAAGGTGTGGGGGAAACTAAAAAAATGGCGGAAAATTGGAACCACTAAACGTTAGATCTATATAGAACGAAGACACTTCCTTTTTTCGGGACTCGAGTCCGAATAACATTTTTTCATATTCGGACTCGAGTCCCAATAAGAAATTTTTTTATTCGGACTCGAGTCCGAATATGAAAAAATGTTATTCGGACTCGAACGACGGCCTTTTTTACTAGATTCTAGATCTAGGCCTAAATATTGATGCGCTGAACACGAATATATATCAACTTCGTTTCCATCGCAAATGAATAGTTTTACCTTACTTTCACTATGGCACCACTGGTGCCCAGTGGTCCGCTATTCTTCCTTTCAGGACTCCCCTATTCACTTTCCTACGCAATGTCTTCACCCTTCGACTGCCAACTACCGACTGACGTCTCATAGGCCTATCAGGTTTTTCAGTGACCGTGCCCTTTTACCCACGACCTTGACGCAAATTGGTCAATCAAATCCCATGGTCCACCTTTTTTCTGGAAGTGATTATTCTCACCTTGGTTGAGAATAACCCATGTCTCGCTGTTTTCACCCCTTCGTTTTACCGGAAATAGCCAAAGAGGGATCAGGGCTTAGGTTAGCGGGCATGACGCCCGGGGGGTCGGGTCAGGGCTATATATATGCTCCAAAGCATCGTGTTCATCACTATTCGTATCTGAATAGTCAGTCAGGGTTGTCAGTTTGGAGCAAAAAATCACAGAATTTGGCTCTTTTGGATCGTGTCTGGCCCGGAGATTTTCATTTGGCTCTCTGGCTCTTTTTTTGCTCTACAAACTCCAAATGTTCAAGAAGAAAGGGAAAGAAGAGGCAAGAAAAAAAAAAGAGTAAGAGAAATAAATAATAAAAGTTACGAAAAGAGCTTGGATTGCTTAATAAACTAGTTAACACAATTTAACACCCTCGTCCATTTGGTCTGAATAAATTTCCCTTCTACTGTTGTTCAAGAGCATTTTACGTTTGTACACACACTCTCTCAGACTCTCTGTTCCTTGAACCATTAATTTATTGTGTGCAGGCAGAGAATGAGAGGCCTGCCATCGTTAAAAGTGTGTAAACAAAGTATGGTGCGGCCAGTCCCACGTCCCGCTCAGCAGCATCGGTAGTGAGCCTTTTTTAAATTTTTTATTGGAGAGGCAAAAAATGTTTTTACATTATAATTATATTATTCGTTCCCAACCATAGATCTATGCGGTAAGCCACCAAGGGCCACTACGTGATTTTTATCGGCCTGCGAGAGGTCAAGGGGGAGTCCTCGCCTCATGCCCCCACAGGGAGAATAGCGAGACATGGGTCATTGGGAGAATCCGGGGTGATAATAAAGGGTAGTCTTTTTCTTTGCTAGCGACTCTACTTGGCCTACACCTCCTCCTCCTCCCCTCCTCCCCCTCATGGTCCGGCCAAGTACAATGGAGGGCGAGAGATGCGCACAAGCTCAAGCGCTCATTTGCATTCAGTGGCAACCACCCTTGGTACTGCTCGCAACTCTGAACTCTGTGAGTGCTGCAAAGCAAGGCTCAGCCAGTCTAATTATTTTATTATATCCTGATCGTCCACTTAGCGCCATGGTCCGCTCATGTTATTGTTTTGCATAAATTTATGTGTGTGTGTTTTGTTTTTTAAATTATTGTTGCCAGGGGGCTGAATCCCCCCCCAACTGTTGTTATGATATGTGAACATGCTTCATCCACCAAAGTTAAATCCCCCTCAACCACCATCTCTCGCACACTTTGCCTCACCGCTGGCTTGCGCTCTGTGCACAGTGGCCCGCAGAACTACTTCTTGTCCGCGCGTAGAGAACTATGAATATGTAGTTAGGCTAGGCGCTCATAGTAATCACAGGCCCAGACGGGTGGTCAGGTAAAGTACAATCCAGCCCAAAACCTCAATTATTTTTTTACCTCGAAGGGTTTTGTTGAGATTCCTTTGCAAGCTGATTGGATCGGCTTATAATTCAACAAAAAAAGATTGGCACTTTTTCGGTAGTTCCCAACCGCCTTATTTTGGCCTATTTTATTCGAAATTCGCAAAATTGAGCCCGATTTTGTATTTGAGTAGTTGAACTAGATCGAGGTAATTGATTTGTCAACATTACACTATCTAACACTACACCCAGGCCAAGTGTTCTTAATTGCAATCATGAAGTGTGTCTGGGAAATTGACTGTCTCGTCCAAAATGTCGCCATCGTTGTTTTGGTCGAAAGTGGAAGTACAATTTGGCGAACCGTTGAATGATAACATTAAGCCTATTGCCAAGTTGGAAAGAGGAAATAAGTTCTTTTTTTTAGTTCTATTTGCAGGTTGTTCAGAATTTTGAGCAAGATGGGAGGAAATGATGAATAAGAAAAGTGACACACTCGAAAACCCGGTGTCCGAAATATGCCGCTAGTGCGCTTGATCTAGACCACGTGTCCATTAAGACTGAGACATTAGGCTTCTGTCCTGGATAAACGAGCTCAGCTGAAAATCAGTGCCAACTGTCGGAAGGCTTACCCCCTCCTAGTACAACAAAAAAGCTTTAATGGTATACATGAGAGAATAGGAAAAAGCAAGCTGGCTTGTATAGAATTATTTTTTGAAGATAACAATTATTGTAATGTTTTTTGTTTTGTTTTTTCAGAAACCTATTATGCTTCATGGCCATGAGCGGTCAATCACACAGATCAAGTACAACAGAGAAGGAGATCTCATCTTTTCCAGTGCCAAGGATCCCCAGCCCAACGTGTGGTATTCTCTCAACGGCGAGAGGCTGGGATCCTTTGTTGGACACAATGGAGCTGTCTGGTGTATAGATTGTACCTGTATCCTTTTCAGTCGCTGCTTCTCTCAAACCTTATCGAGTGTCATGGAGTGGAGTTTTTAGTTTTATTCCTGTAATTTGTGTAGAATTTTTACCTGAGAAAGGAATCACAGGGCTCTTAAGAGTTTTCCATGTCTATGCAAAAAATGATTTAGCTCCTTGCTGAGGTATGTGGTGCTAGAAAGTGGAAAAACTTGTTTGCAGTCTTCACCAAGGGGACTTTTACTTTTTTTTGTTGTTGATATCTTCAGTCAATGACGGTTGAGTTTTTACCGAAGAAAGAGGATTCGTCAGTATCGAGTCCAGAATCTGATAATTGGCTCTGTAATAATTATTCTCCGACTCCCTTTATTCAGAGGGGTCGTAAAATGATTAAATATTGATAATACAAATGCCTCCAAAATTGGCTGCCAATGATAAGAACGATTTATCATCACATCGCAGGCTACCGTTATAAACCATTTATGAGATTTTTTCTTTAAAAGAATTTTTTGTTTAAGCATATGAGTGGGCAGGAGCCAAGGAGAAGCAGTAGAAAGTCTTCAGAAAGAGTCAAGAGCCCAGAGGAGGGGGCAAAGGAGGTTGGGGGGCGGGGGGCAGAAAGTGGAGACGAAAGCAAACAACAGAACGTTTTTAGGGAGCAAGGAGGTGAAAGGAGACAAATTTTAGAGCCGAAACTTTTCTGTCCCTATCTGGATTCGAACTCAGTACCCATTGAATGAGTGGCAAACACCATTATAACCTCTTGACCATGAGAGCCCCCTGTGAGATTTTAGCACACACACAGATAGCTTTATACGCAGTATTATAGTTGTAGGGCACATTTTCATGTTATGGAGGTAATTAAAGTAAGCTCGTTGTTGACCTTGCAATTTAAAATCACGTTTCCGCGTAATTCTCTCATGTTTGTGGAAATTTGACCCGACATACTACGTTTTTAAAACAGCATGTTTCATGTCAAACTGATCAACAAAGCATTGCCCCGATGGTGAATTCATTTATCTTTGACTTCTGGGTCTAACTAAAGGCTTGTCAACTCATACTTTTTTTCATTCTGCCCGTACCATAATACAATAATAACTTCACATCAGACTGTGGTACTGCCCAGCCATGGTTACGGACCTCGACTACCGGATGCTGCCACCGTCCAGATATGGTAAAAGAGTTAAGATGGGTGCTCCACTGTCTCGGGTTTCCTCATTACTTCTTGTAGCCTTGGGTTCCCTGAAAGAGATCATTATTGTGTCCTTGACCCAAAACTAGGGGATTCCACCAAAGTCCTCACCGGGGCTGCTGATAACACATGCAAGATCTGGGACTGTGAAACAGGTGGGTGTTACGTGATGATGCAGTGTCACAATTGTCTGTCCGTGCCGTCAGTAATATCACATGGCAAGCTCATGAGCACATTGAGAAAAGATGGGGAGAGGATGGGTGAAAGGACTATATGAAATTCTTTTTTTATACAACTGGGTAATTTACATTTCTGTGGCTTACAGGGAAATTAACATTTTTGCCACTAGCAGGGAAAACATATGACATATATTTTCAACCTATACAGTATGGCGCATAATATTATAATTATAATGTGGAGCATTTAAAAATGCTTATATTGAAGGGCATTTATAAAGTATGTTGTGTATTTAGTTAAAAGTTATATCATGCTGCAGAGCAGGGAAGCATACATGTGTCTTAAATTTGTACATATTCTGAAGGCAAAAGTTTAATGAGAGGTTTGTCGTACACAGGTCCAACTGTAGATATATTGATTGTGTAGGACTGGAGCTTTCAGACTTGAAAGAGATTTATATAAGTAAAGTATACTGGTGAAGGAGAGGATGTTTTGTTGAGTGCAAGTTTTCCTTTTCTCTGTAATGGACCTGTCATTCATGAAGTGAGATGTGAAAAGCCTCTGCAAAATAAATTTTTTTTAAAGGAAACCGAGAAAAGAACAATTTGACAAGAAGTTTGTAAAGAACGGTAAACTAAGGGTTATGTTTTATTTTTTTTTTACAGATTTCTTCTATGCTCAGAGCTTACTAGTATATGATAAAGCGCTATATAAATGCAATCTATTATCATTACATACATTTTTTAAATTCTGTCCCTGCTCAGGCTCGCAACTGAACTCTCTGGAGACGAGGACAGCCGTGCGGACAAACGGTTTCTCCTACAGTGGCAACCTAGTCATGTACAGCACAGACAAGACCATGGGCTTCCCCTGTGAGATCCACATGTTTGACATCAGAGACGGCTCACAGATTGGTAAGTGAGCCCCTGGTTCTTTCTCCCTGCTACTCTTCTGACTTTGGGTCTAGAGGGACGTTTGACTTCAAACAATAACTGCAGCATCCTCACTTGTCTTATACTGTGAGGTGAAACCCCCTGGCAGTCAGTGAATTAAATCGTTCTCTTGGCTGTAACATTCATTTTCTGAACCCCCGGGTCTCATTAAGTCTTTGTACTTTCTCTGGCTAATACATACTTTGATTAAGTTGTACAAAATCTTTGATCCTAAGGGGTCATGTTATATTGAGTTTCTACCGTACAGTACATAATATATTCGCCAATGTCACATAACATGTGCATACCAACAGTATAGTATTAGACTTTTCTTGGGATGTTGTCGAGGAAACACTGCGTAAAAACACATATTTGACCAGAAAGATTTTATAAGTGTTGTTTATTGTTATGCAATTTTGTTGATTCTGTCCACAACAGAGTCTGGGAACCCCTACCTGACCATCCCAATCGACACGTCGATGTCCAAAATCACGTCAGCCATCTGGGGCCCTGGTGAGGATTTCATCTTGACAGGTCACGAAAACGGCGAGATCAACCAGTTCGATATCAAAGTGAGTTCCCAGATACCCATACTGCATTTGTGCACAGGCTGATACAAAGATCGTGATAATAATACATTAGTACCAGCTCTTTTTATGCACGACAGGAAAGACATCCTTTGTTCATAGTGAATTTGCTAAAGTGACTGATTGTGTTTCTAAGTAAAACTTCAAACAGGCCCTTGCTTCTGGGAACTGAGTTTGTGTCAAGTTTTTCTTTTTCACAAGACCTTAACCACAGCCAAGGCATTTATGTAGATCTGGTGTTTTGTGTAATTCCTGTTTAGATGGCATGAATTGATGTTGCTCATTTTTAAGTATGGAAGAGCAGTTAATTGCTTTTAAGTTTCTTTGAGATTAAACTTTGTTTGGTGTCTGGAAACAAGACAGAAAAATACATTTTAGAATTGAAGATTGAAAAATTCCTGATTGAGATATATCATCTTGGAAAAACCAACCTGGACGGTCATGACTTTTGGCTAAAAGTGGTTTAGTGATCTTTTGATTTAAAAAAAATAGCCCTCCTGTTTCTTTTTGTAGAAGGAAGTACCAGAGGCCACAACATTTGAGTGCACAGTTTAAGAACCAATGCTCTTTAGAAGTGCATAGTATTATATTTTTCTAGCAGAAGTGTCAGTTATTTTTAAAAGGACACTGCAGGAAAGTCCACAGATCTAGAGAACACGAAATAGATATATGTAAATATCTGTAAGTGACCTCCCTGTTGTTGGCTGGTCATGTGTTCCCCAGGTATATGGACGGACAAATAGTATTCACTGGTAGGACTTTCTGACTTGGGTGGGTGGCAGCAGAGATGAAAGCCAGCCTGTCCTGTGTTTCTCATCTGCATCGTTTGGCTGGTGGGTTAGGCCCTGATCTTTTTTTGAGAGGGCATTAGTTGGATTGTCAGTTTTGAATGCATGAAAATGAAAATGGATCATCGCTGGGCACTGTACCTTACATCATCAGAATCACAATTTTTACCTCGGCACTTCACACTCCACATCTTTGAACCTTAGAGGCCCGGCCAGTAAATGTGCCCAGGATGTATTTCTTGGTGTCTTGTTTGGCCCGTGCACCTGGGGCTGATCATGTCTCTCTGTCTCTGTCTATCTGTCTCTCTCTCTCTCCCTCTCCCTCTCCCTCTCCCTCTCCCTCTCCCTCTCCCTCTCTCCTTGCGCTATGGTGTCATAAACGGTCAGCGATGCCGACAGCATGCAGGAACTCAACAGTCGCTCGAGGGTCCTTGAAAAGTGCTGAAAGTGGGCCTGAAATGTCCCAGCAGAGGGCTGATCATGTTGGAGTACAGTAGTCCAGGGATGGAGATTTGGAAAACATCAAGGTCTACTGCCCAGAGTTAAAACATATTTAAATTTTTTTTTAGCTCAACTAGTTTTTGTAAATTTAATGATTACTTTTTCAGACGGGCACCCGAATCAAAGGCTGCAAGGACCACACGAAGCAGATCAACGACATCCAGCCCTACAAGGACAACTCCATGTTCATCACTGCCTCCAAGGACAACACAGCAAGGGTGAGCAGCGTCTTCTTTGGAATATCTATTGTCATGTCTTGTGTGTGTGTGTGGTAACCCCCGGGGTGGTGCCACTGACTGAAGTGTCTTTAGGCCATTCCCAAAGGGGGGACATGTAGAATTTTAAATGGGCTGATCCAACAATGTCATGCTCGTAACTGTGCTTGTACTACAACAGGGAACTGCTGCTTTTTCTTTCCTAATCCTTACGGTGGTTGCCGGGTGCTCTGGTGTGGTTTGCTTCTTCTTTCCTATCAAACATCTATCGTCCTTGTCTCCCCTTGTTCTTTGTTTGTTACACTCTTGTAATACCTCTAATCTTTTTTTAAAGCAGGAAAATGGCGCTCATATGCCCATATGCAGTTGCGAGCGCTGTAAAACCTCTACTTAAACAAACAATAATCCTTACTTTCGTCATTGTCCTCTACTTCTTTTGTATGTTTGTCACACTCTTGTGACCCGCTATTTCCGGGGGTGCCTTGATAGCCAAAGCAGACTTTGTACTGTTAAAGCTAGAGAGGTGAGCTGAGTAAGTCCGATTCCCTCTCAGGACTTCTCTGTTGACATCCACCCCTTGGCGCTCATATGACCTTATGCAGTTGCGAGCGCCGAAAAACCTCTACTAAAGCAATAACTCTATTCACCCTGCGTGGCCGCTGCAGTGCACTTGTGTCCACCTGGCTTGTTGCGAGCCAGGGTAAAAATCTTGGTCTGAACTCGACTCACTCCGTTTGGACACACCTTGTGCCTAAACTGTTTGAGCTATCAATATGAAATTTTCCTTAGATTTTAACTTAAATGTTGTAACATTATTACAGAGAAGGAGTACGAAAAGTGCAGAGAAAAACAATTTAATTCTTCGTCTGACTGTGGCTCATTGGAACTCGATACACCCATAGCAACATATAGGTAGTCTATGGTCTAGATCTAGTTTTTCTAAAAAGTTGTCAAGGCACTAACATCAATCCGACCGCCTTGTTTTTATGTCTACTTTCACATTCTTCGCCGCTTATGCACAAAACAAAACCAAGAACATAGTTTGTGTATTGGAACAAACACGAAAATAGCCGTGGCACAGCTGGCACAGCTATAATAATAATTTTTTTTTGCTAAGACTAGAGGGAATATCATATTATGCGTATTGTAGGGATATTTTATTTTTCTTGGAAAACTCGCAAACGTGGATAAGAATAGTAATACCTGCTACCTCTAATTTACGTAGACCGGACGTGGCGAACACACGGGCTGGATGAATTGAGTTATGTTCAGCTGATGAAGATTCTTGTTCTTCTCTCCTTTTTTTTGTATGCCGACATTTGGCATCTTCAAAGATGCAGCGGTTTGTTTTAGTGTCCCTTAGTTGCTGTAAAGCACGTCTCTAAAACTGAAGCTGTGCATTTATTGGATTCGCTGTCTCTGTATAGTCTTTGATTTTGCCTGAACAGTTAAACATTTGAAAGTTTGTTTTGAAATTCATTTGAAAATAGCCATCTTCTTTCCTATCAAACATCTATCGTCCTTATCTCTCTTCCTTTTTTTGTGTTTGTTACTCTCTTGTCTCACTAACAAGGCAATCCCCAATGCCCAGATCGGATAGGGAACAACTTTACTTTTTTACTCGTCTCTTGCAACACCTTTAATCTTATGAATTAATATGACCTAATTGTGTTGCAACTGCCGTAAAATGCTTTGCTCTGACAATAAAACTTTGAGAGATTGCCTTAGTAGTCTGTTGACCTCCATGTTTCACTGTTGCAGCTGTTTGACATGGAGACCCTTGAACCGCTGAAGATGTACAAGACGGAAAGACCTATCAACTCAGCTGCAATCTCTCCACTCCATGACCACGTAAGTGACTGCTGCGGAAATTTTGCTTTTTCTATGGATTGATTTATATTGCTAGAATAACTTTCAAGAGGGCTATTAGTGTGGTAACATGGAGGTTGGATTTTACTGGCCGACCATGTCAACGCACATGCAAGGGAACCACAAGTGTGTAGTAGTCTTAGCTTAGACTTATGTGACCAGTATGTATTAAATTGAAATTGGAACTTGAAGACCTTAAAGTGTTAATGTGTTCTTATGATGTGATTAAAGATCTTTGTTGATTGTGTGCAGACAGAGGGCTGATATTGTGCGTGGGAGATTGGCGAGGGCTTTGATGTGATTTACTCTTTCTTTCCTATCAAAACATCTGTCATCCTTATCTCCCCTCTAATTTTTTTTTTTTTAACGGTGTGTACTTTACTCTCTTGTAACATCTTTATTCTCCAGCACTTATATGACCTTGTTGTGTTGTAAGTGCCATAAAACTTTTATTAAACTAAAACTAAATGAAGAATGTGGTGCACCACTTTTTTTTGTTTGTATTCCAGGTGGTAATGGGCGGTGGTCAGGAAGCCATGCAGGTGACCACCACCAGCACCCGTGTGGGCAAGTTTGACGCTCGCTTCTTCCACCTGGTGTTTGAGGAAGAGTTTGGCAGAGTCAAGGGACACTTTGGACCAATCAACAGTGTGGCCTTCCATCCTGATGGAAAGAGGTTAGCTATTTTTCAGTGTAAAGTTTTTTTTGTTGGTATTCAGCAACACCCCCACCCTCAAAAAACCCCAAACCAAACCAACAAACAAACAAACAACAGCAACAGCGAACATGTCTTTACCATTCAAAATTACTATAGTTATAACAGAACCACTATGCTTAAATCTTGAGTTTAAAGTCAGAGTGCACTTTTTGACCTTATGCAGTTGCGAGCACCGTAAAACTTCTACTAAAACTAAAAATAGAGCACTTTTGATTTCGTCTGTTCAGTCTCCTGTGGGTGCAACTGGTAGACCACTTGCTCTTTTAGGTGACTCATTCTGTGTCTCTGGTGACTAATTCTGTGTCTCATGGGGTGTCACACTTCATCAGCGTGGTTCTAGGTGGTTTGCTTGCTCTGAGGTTGTACAGAGTACTTGTGTCAGGAGCTATAAGTCCTGCATGGGTTGATCATGAGAGGGTTTCCCTGACACGAATTCTCGTTACCGGTACCGGTACTTTTTTTTCAAAATCATGATATTGATCACAAGTTTGATAGTTCAGTGGCAAAAACTTAGATGAGGGTGCACGATTGTTTTAACACCACTCTCACTCTCATTTTTTTATGGTCACACCTGCACAATCATATATTCTCATCACGCTGGATCGATAACAACAACATTCTTCTCATCCCAAGTCTCGCCACCCTAAGGGGAGACGTGTGATGAGTGTGTATAGACTTACACCACTGTCCCACGGAGTGGCATCAACACCCAAGTGCATTCTGCTTTCCTCCTCCCTCCCCTGTACTCACAGTTTGACACATCATAAAACATAATAATAATAATAAATGACATTTATATAGCGCTCAACCCCGAATAAAGTACACAGGCTCTGAGCGCTTTACAATACAATACAACATACAACAGGAACATGAAACGTTGTGTTCTGACTAAAGAAAATTGTTCCAAATATTCATCTTATTAATTTAAAAACAGAAACGACTTCAGCTGACATTTGAATGAATCAAAAGATTTGATTTCTCTCAACGTACTTGGTAAAGCATTCCAGATCTTGGGGCCTTCGTATTCAAATGCCCTTTCACCAATTGTTTTAGGCTTCATAGATGGTAAAATAAATTTCTTTTTGTCAGCTGATGACCTTAAACTGCGAGTTGGAATGTACAGTCTTAACAGATTTGATTAACATGCACATAATCAACTTATGCCTACTGTACTGTGGGTCAAGTTGGTCCTATTCGCCATTAATGTTGACTGTAGTTTTACTTCATATCCGTTGTCCTGCTTTGTTTTAGTAGAGGTTTTACAGGGCTCGCAAACTGCATAAGGTGATATGAGCGCCATTTTCCTGCTTTAAAAATAATAATGTCAATGGTTGTACGACTGTTTTAGCTGAGCATGTCTGGCCAAATGCCTGTTATAAAAGAACATTTTTGCAATACTTCATAAGAGAACGAACATGAGAATTGACCGATTTATTAAATAAGCCTGTTTATAGCCGAAATCCTGTTCTAACGGAAACTGCTAATCTGTGAGATCACCAGTACCACTAATTATCTACCTCTAACTCTTCTGTTGAGAATTTTGCTTTTATATTTTCTGATCACTGTGTGATACAGTATAGAATCTAACATGGATAGGTCGAACATAGAAGGCTCGAAATATGCATCCGGCGAACTGTGCCTGCGGTCAGTTTTTAAAAAAAATTATTTTTTTTGGTTTCCTTATTTTTTTTTCTCTTTATTCTTTTATGATATCCCTTGAACTACGGATCCCTTGAACTACCGAGGCCAGTCCCGACGAATTCAAGCTATCCGCGTTATACTGTAATTATCTGGCTCTAATTCATCTGTAAAGAAATTTGGTTTTATATTTTCTGATCAGTGTGATCATGTCTTTATTTATGTGTATTATTTTGACGCAATTTTTTTTGTTTCCTCCAACCACAGCTACAGCAGCGGAGGAGAGGATGGCTACGTGCGAGTTCACTATTTCGATCCAAATTATCTGGACTTCTCTTGCGAATATTAGCTATTTATTTGAACTCACATTGTACAAAAAAAAAAGAAAGAAAGAAAGAAAGAATAAATGTCTTGGTCTGGTAAGGTCAGTCTGAATTGGTTTTGTTTGTGTGTTTTTCTCTCACGTTCATTGTTTCTCTCTCTCTCTCCTGGGTTTTATGGATAGTGAAATTCGTCAGCACAGAAAGAGCTGTCTAAACAGACTGCACAGCTCGATGAAACTAACACTAACAGTTCTCGCATACGATGAATCTGACACAATTTATCGTTGCGTGTAACTGGGCCATAAGTGCAACATCCTATTTGAGGAATGACAGAGAAACTTAGAAATTGTTTGGTTAACTGTCGAATTTACCAAAAACTTTGGCAACCAAGAAACTGTTAAATCTAGGTCAAGCAGGGACGTGAGATAATTGCCGGTTTGTTGGTTAGGAGTACAGAACCACAACAGTTTAAACATTGAGAGTGGTCACTCTGTTTGACATAACACTCAACAGGATTCTAAAATGCAGAGATGCCAACCAGTACGATTTTACGTATTTTAGTATGATTTTTTGCCGCAAATACGCGAATACGACTTTTCATGAAAAAATATGCATCCTGGAATGCGAAAAATACGAGATCCAGTTTGGGCGAGTAAACCTAATTATCTCAAGTCCCATCTTTTGTCAGAATAGTATCAGTATCGCGGAACTGGAATATTTGAAAACCAAGTTCGATAAGGTCAGTAAGTTAATTTTTGCCGGTCGCGATAGTGATAATATTTGTTTAGCTTTTCCTCCTCCGAGAGTACGTTTTACTTTCACGCGAACAGGGCCGCGGCGGCTGGCGGAAGTGTATGTGACACCGAGGCTTGATCGGGAAAATCAAGATCTACTTTCGCTTTCGTTACCACCGAGAAGTTTGCAAGCGGTAGACTGATAACACAACTTATTTGTGACATGCAGGTTGTGTAGTGTAAACGCTGTGTTGCCGTGCAAATAAAATTTCTCTAATTCGTCTCTGTGCTGTTACTTGTACTATAGGAAAAAAAGAAAAGAAAATACAAGCGTCGTCCGATTTTTAGATTGTCGGGCTCGCCATCGTGACCGGTCAATGAACCTGCGCGCATTCGCATCTCAAATAAATGCGGTATCGTGTGAGCAAAGACCGTGTTTGGTGGAAGTAACGGCGTTGCCAAGTATAGGACAACGGGAGGGGATTATTTATTTTTTTAATACACTCGAGGAAGGGGGGGGGGGGGGGGAGGAGTGAAGGCAACACCAGAGGGCAAAAACTTGGAGGCAAATTTCAGAATTTTGATTAGAGCTCTCGTTGGTGCAGGCCGTGTGCGGAATCGGGACCCTTCATACTTTGCAAGGCTGTGTAATTGAAATAAAATGTTCGCGTGTCATTGGATGGGTGATAGTAAATTATACCTACAGTGTTTGTTGTAGCTTTCTGTTCAAGACGGGCAGATTTTCAGTGTCACTGCATCTTGCCCTCCCACAGTTGTTACAACTCTCACAGTGCACGGGTCTACTGGAGCCTTTTAAGTTATTGCTCTTCTCTGAGTTTGAGCAATAATTTTAGTCAGTCAGTTCATAATATGAATCATGACACCTAGACTGGTTCTTGATAGTCGAAATTCTTGTTCTAGGCCCTTCCGAACGCTCAAAACAGGATTAATTTTTTATAATATTACAATAATGAGTGGAAAATATTATAACAGACTGAAATACTTAAGTCAAACAAGACCCCAGTACGACACTGAACACTGACATGTTGTTGACTGGATACATGTATATTGTACGTGTGTGTGCTCCCTTTCTCGAGCTGGTGAGCTCGGAAATTTTTTCAGGAAATATTGCTGGACAACCTAAACATTTTACTAATTGGTCGGTCGGTCGGGGAAAATACACATTTTCATATTTCCCAATACTCATTTTGGTTTTGTCTGGTTGGCATCTCTGAAAATGTGTCTATGATATTAACTGTGGTATATCTATATTCTTAGACTGCTATTCCATGCTTAACTCAAACTCACTGAGCCCAGGTTCCAAACATAGACAGGATATTATATCATGTCTATGTTTGGAACCTGAGCTCAGTGAGTTCATATTGGTTGGGCCCCAGTCCCAAACACATGGGGTCCGGTTCCAGGCGATGAATCGGTAATAGAAACAGAAAAGCACTTCAAAATTGCACAAAGCTCGTGAAGTATATTTTTCTGTAACGTTCATGTTTATTGAAAAAAAGAAAGAGACTGTTGGAAATACAAATCTTAGTTAAAATGAACTGAAAAATAAACTGAAATGTTAAATTCAACACATCTCCTGTTTGTGCAATAGAGGGATCTTAAAATCCAATGCCATAAGTCATTTATTTTAGAAATAGATGTGTGTATGGCTGGATAAAGTTAACACGTGCTGACAAAATAGTTACTTCTCGCAATCCACAAATGGAGATATTGGCCAAAAATCGACTCAAGGGTCAAATTTGTACATTTTTTATTGATGCAATATTCTTCTTTAAAAGTATAACATTACTTTTGTTATTTCGTACGTATTAATTGTAAGAACTATAATAAGCGTGATGTAACTATTTCCATAGGGCTCAAATCCGAGAAGTAACTCATTTTGTCTGCATGTTTCATGACACATTTTTGAGGAACTGCATTAAAAAAAAATTTTCTGGTACAAAAATCATTTTTGAACAAAATACAAAAAAAATATCTCAGATAGCTTCAATACGCTGTGAAATCTTATTAATATTGTGAGGTAAGGTGTGGAAAAAATGTTTTGTGATAAATGGCTTTAACATTTCCTTAGATCTGGATTGAGGTCTTCTCCAAATAACAGCTCTGCTGATGGGATAGAATGTGAAGTCAACACTGCTTTTCATAAGCAACTTTCGGTATAATACTTATCAGATGCATATATATATGAACTTTCAAATAGTGAACAGAACAAAATGAGCGATCATTCAAAGAACTTTATGGAGACAAGTTGATGTGGAAGGGTTTTCATACACTAACACAAAAATCCAATGATTCTGTGCCATGAGGATCGAAATTAGTCATTTGCAGAAAACCAGCTTTTTCTGAGAACTTTCTTTTATCATTTTTCTCCAAATCTGATCGCATTTGAAAAAAGTATAGATCTATGGCATTTCAAAAAGAACAAACAGCCTGTTTATTATTTATTGTCATTCCAGTTCCAGGTGGCATCTTATTTTCAAAAATGTTTAGTGCATGTACAAGCTGTCAAACAGTTTTATTTTAAACTAATAACTATGCCATTTTTAGCTAGCTTGTGTACACTGAAGAATCTGTTGTAGGTATTTTTTTACCCAGTGACAATCTGAAATCAAATATAATACATATAGCATACCAAAAGGATGGAGAAAGATAATCAATGTATGTGTACCGGTAGTTAAAATGTTCTACCACACAGGACCACTAGTTTGTTTTGCGACGTCTCTCAATCACAGGCATTTGCTTCTAAAACCAGGGGCTACCACCAGTCGGTGTCAGAAGAGGCCATCAAACACGTTTCCCATCAGCTGATGACTGCTGTTCCTGGAACTGGAAGATAAACATAAAAGAGAATATTATATAAACAGTCTATATAGGCCTACTTTAAAACTTTATAGTTTTACCTAGACCACTAGGTGCTTCACAGTGTGACTTGCATACAACACTAAGCCTAAACTTTCAAATATTTTTTGTTTAAAAAAATCAAAGTTTAGTTTTGTTTTTACTAAAAGCTGCAACAACATTTGACCATTGTCACTCAAGAGAGATGGTAGGTTTAACTCAGCATAAGAGAAATTGAGCCATCAAAACCACCAACAAGTGTACGTAGGTGGTTGGCGGGTGCTCTGGTGTGGTTTGCTCCTTCTTTCCTATAAAAAATCTATCGTATCTATCTCCCCTCCTTTTTTATGCTTGTTACTCTCTTGTAACACCTCTAATCCTCGGCACTTATATGACTTTATAGTGTTGCAAGTGCCGTAAAACTCTTACTAAAACTAACTCAACGTAAGAGAAATCGAGCCATCAAAACCACCAACTGAACAAGTGTACGACAAACTCACCTGTCCCCTGCAGCAAACAGCTGAGACAAGAAGTTTCTGGACGTGCTGGCTGACTTGAGGGCTGGTGTAGACGTGGACACACACAGCTCTCGCTCTTCCTCCTGTCCTTCCTGTCTCCACAGACATCTCCTTGACAGAGCGGGGACCTCAGTAGGGGGAAACAGTCCTGGGCTCGTTGTAGTTGTTGTAGTGTGTGTGTCTGGGAAAGTCCGGAGGTCTCTACGTTGTGTAGAACCAGATAACAACAACGTCATCGTGTTTGCTGCTGGAGGAACAAAGGAGGAGCTGCAGTCTGCGGTCTGTTCCTGTGTAGTCGTCATCACGTTGGTCTTGCTGGGTGTCTGGGGTAAGGAGGAGGTTCCTGGTGTTTCATCAGGTGAGACAGACAGACAGGCCTGTGGTTGTTGTTCCTCCAGTACTTGGAGCAAGGAGGAGGGTCCTCCTGCCACTTCACCAGACGACAAGGACAAACAGGCCTGCTGGCTAGAACAGCTGGACTTGTGAAGACTGGAGGACAGCTGGAAGATCAAGAACCAAAAACAAACGATTTAACATATTTGAGGCTTTGTGGTGAAATCAAGCGTTCGTCAAAATTATGAAATTGAAGAAACAGGCATTTTTCCGCCAGTAGGGCAATTTTTTTCGAATTCTTGTTTTCTCGCTCCAAACCTATAATGCCCACATAAAAACACATTTCCATGAGAATTTTACTGAAAAACAAAATATGTGATTTTTCAGTTTTTAAGTAAGGACTTTGAAGCTTATTGAATTTACTAAACTTAGGCGGCCATTTTCTCGTACCACTGAAACCAAGCGACTCTACTTCCTTCAATTGCATATCTCGACTTTTGTTAAAGATAGATTTATTTAGGTGAAAGCAAGGCAAATGAAGCTATCAAATGAAACCAATATCTCCACATGCCCGAAATCCGACGACGGCCTGATTCCACAGCGTCGTGACACATATAGGAATATGTGTATGTAGTAAAACACTCTGTCTTGCTGATTTATTAGTTTTCTTTTTGACATTTTGTCAGTACTCTAGACAAAGTACATGTAATAATCTAGTTTTTCTCTGTGCTCCAGCTGACAGTGCTTAAATGATAACTTGTAAACACTGGGTTATGACGAAGAGACAAACAAATGTCGATGGCTTTTGAAGTCTGAACATCAGAAGAGACGATCACTTCATTTTTTCACGTCTTTTTTTACATTTATGGAGTGGAGGACAAGAGAAATCCTTCTGCTGGAAATCCATGAGAAAATCCAAAGGCCTATATCTTCTCTGTAAACCAAAGCCTTTTTGAGTTTTTGAAAACAAGGTAGGCTACAAGGAACAAGTCACCTTCTCCCCTAACAATATTCAAATTCAATTTAATATAATCTATCTACAGGAAGGTTTGACCTGTCCCTGTCGTTTTATGCAAGAAAAATTCTGAAATGATGCAAACTGAGCCCAAAAATGTGTAATTATGCGATTCTTTTAATTTTAACAAAGAATGATAAAGGAAAATAATCAGAAATTATGCCAAAAAAAAGATCAAATTTTGCTAAATTATGCGGGGTGCATAAAACCACAGGGACAGGGTTGGACTCACATGTCCGTTGGCACCTTGACTGCTCTTGGCCCATGCCAGGACTTTGCCGTAGCGGTGAGAGGACTGAGAGAAGCCGTCATCCGTGGAGGGGGAGGAGAGGATCGCGTCTTTAGGACTCCAGCTTATGCTTTCTTCCTCCACGTTTGGAGCTGACTCATCTTGATTGAAGGCATTATCTTGATGATGAACAGACTTCGGAGTGACTGCAGTGTTCTGAATTTGAACAACTGTCTCCTCATTCTTGTCAGTCCAGTCTTCATCAACAGATTTAAGAGATGTTGGCATTATATTCTTAGTCTGTGCGGTGATGGGTTTACTCCAGCATGAGCTGTATGTGAGAGGGGTTGATGAAACACTTCCAGCCTTAGATGTACCCCAGTGGGACCAGTCTGTCGGAGGTTTGGGAACACTAGGACCAATCGTTTCTTTCCAGTTTGGTCCATCTTTCCAGGGTTTGGGACCACTTGGAGCAATTGTTTCCTTCCAGTTTGGTCCATCTTTCCAGGGTTTGGGACCACTTGGAGCAATTGTTTCCTTCCAGTTTGGTCCATCTGTCCAGGGTTTGGGACCACTTGGAGCAATTGTTTCCTTCCAGTTTGGTCCATCTGTCCAGGGTTTGGGAGACATGGGTAACAAACAGTGAGTTGAGTGAGGAGCTGTTTCATGAAAGTTGCTGTTGTCTTCGACAGGTTTTGTTGCAACAATTACATTGCTGTGTGGAGAGAACTCTGTCCAGTTTCTACAGTCATCAGATGTATGGGAAATAACAGGCGCCCTTTGAACACTTTGAGCAATGGCAGAACGTCTGGACTTTCCACTTGTACTCATGCAACACGACGCGCTGTCACTACTGTGGGTTTTTGCGTCATCGGGATCAACCTTACCACTGAGAGAGTTTAAATTCACCGCCGACATCGTAGGAAAAGCTACCATCTCATTCATCCTAAATTCAGCTGTGTCTGGCCTGCAGTCGTCATCAATCTCTGCCAGGTTCCCCCCAGGGTGGGCCCAGCAGCTACTACTTGGCTTGGATGGTGTGGTCAGGCACTGAGGACTTGACGTTTGACATCTACTAAAGCCGTAGTTGCAAGCTCTATCTCTAGTATCACAACTGTCTGCTGCCACTGCTCCTCCAGGTGTCCGCTGTCTCCAGCTCGCGGCTCCGTCCACCTGTGCTGAGACAGAAGAGAATATGCTCGTGTTCTCACGGTGGGTTGTATGATGTCCACTCATACTTGGCGCTACCTCCTCCATTATCGCAGAAACAGTGGGTGACTCCATCAGGCTCATCAGTTCTTCATCACTGAGAGGAAAAAAATTACCAAAAAATAAATAAATAAATTTTTAATGATCCCAGCAGAAAAATGAAAATAAAGAGGAGTACCGATGAGTTGATGTCCTCGGGGGAGTGATAAATAGTAGATCAACTCATCCGAAGTTCTAACCGTTGGAAACTATAATTAAAAGTAAAGAAGAGGTAGGCTACTGGGACCCGAGAAAAAGATCAAATTAAACCAAAAATCAACTCAAGTGAGTTCAACACAAGTGGAGTTGACTGAAACAACATGTGAATCCAGTATTGCACATCATAGTACACATGTATTTAGCGTTAACACAGACCTACTGTCTCATAATAAAGTCACACTGATGAATTACATGCGTACTCTGTAAGATTTTTTTAGCCAACTACAGAAAACTGACTGCCCACTTCAAACTCAAAGCAACCCTCGCATGACCATCCAATTTATTCCACAGTTTCATCTCTAGCCCCAGAGGTAGATATTTACATGTAGCGCAGCTGTCATTTATGCACATAATCACTAGCATTCAAATACATTCTGTCGCTTTCGTTTGAAAAGCTGTGGTCTGCAGCCGAGGAAAAAAGAAGACAGCGGTTTTCAGCACCTTGTTTTGTTTCATTTTCATTTTAGTACAGGGTGTAAGATTTCAATACAATAAGTTATTAAGGCAATATAAGTGCCAATGATTAGAGGCGTTACAAGAGAGTGACAAACACAAAAAATGAGGAGAGGATAGGACCACAGATGCTTGGATAGGAAAGAAGGAGCAAACCGCACCAGAGCACTCACCAACCACCCGTGCACCTTGTCTAGGTGTTCAGCAAGCAGCCAACTATCATAATGTGCGCCCTAAGCATGTCACATGATACAGGCAATGGATTTTGTCTAAATCTAAATCAAGAGGCTCTCTTTTCTCCATCTCTTCCTCCCCCATTCATTAATTTCATTCATCTGCCTGTTGGTCCATTTTAGGAGAGAGAGAGAGAGAGAGAGAGAGAGAGAGAGAGAGAGAGAGAGAGAGAG